AGAAACCATTTACATGTGATTTGGGTGCTAAAATTTGTTTCCTTCTATAGAGAACACAATTGTCTCCTCTGCTCATGACTTGAGCAACTGCACGTGGATATTTGTCTTATATGACTACATTGTCTTCTTGAATAAAATAAACACTATTCATTATAGATATATCAGTATCACAGGTTTGATATTATACAACTGACCTTTGGTTCCAGAAGTGGCTGCATCCCTGAATTGGATCATCTTTATTCTTTCTTCAACATGCACGAAGAGAAATTTCTTTATAATGCAATTTTGCATTGATTAGGTGCCCGTTTTACTTTAGTTAGCTCGTGCTCTTTGACACATTCTAATGAAATTGAACACTGATACTTATTTAGTCTAATTTTGGAGTTTGTACACTAAGTTTATCTTAGTACATCTGAAATCATGTCAAAGTGGAAAATGATGGGAACCCAACTTTTGCTAGAGGCAGATTGCCAGCTAAATTGTGTTCGGGTTCCATTCTGCGCTTAGAAATGGGATACCCATCATGTCTGTCAATCTTTATGGGGCTTCCTTGCCTCTGAATGCAGCTTTCTGTTTAAAGCAGCCCCTGCCCCCCTGATTCCTGAACCTCGAGCTCACATGTGGGCTCGCAAAGTTCGACCAAGCAGTGTTATTACAAACGAATTATTTAGTCTGCTTCATACACTACTTTGAAAAGGGGTCAATATCATAGCCGTTGGAAATTATGGGATTAATACTGGACTGGATGTGAACTGCTACTTCTAGAAAATGTTATGAAAATGACTAGGCATCCTGGCAGGGACAGGAGACACAGAAGACAAGTCCCCACAATCTGTTCTTTGGCCGGTTTAAGGGTCCTTTTACTGTAGCCCATTCTGTTTGACAAATTCACTGTGCATGCACCTGCACAAAAATTTTGCTGTGATCTGCTGCATTCAAGGATCTTTATTGCTTTCATGCCCAATGATGCTCTAAATTCTTCTTTGGTGGCAGCCCCTACTTTCCCATTGTGAGGGAGATTAAAGACTTGTCATGGACCTTTTAGAACCCGAAAGACGATTAAACTCAAATATGTTTTGGGATGACGTATCTAATCTTGAATTATAATCTTGGACTCAATTGTACTTGATCGAGTCAAGTCTAGATACTTGTTAGGTGGAGCACACACGCCCCATTGACTTGTCTAAATAGTGTCAATATGTCCACAATTATTGTAGCATGTCTAGTACTCATGTTAGCATTGTGGAACTTGCTCGCCGACATTGTCCCAGACATACTAAAGAAGAGCTAGTGTTCTTGAAATGTTTAATGTTCTTTACTGTAAAATTTATCTGTATCAAACACCATACATGACTCATGGAGAGAAGAGTATGAATAATGAGGTTTTTTTATTTTACTTCCTCCTTTCTTTAATCCGCTATATGAATTTGGTCCGATATTATATTGGGAAGATTGTGACTGTGATAGGTGATACTTCCTTTTCAATTCTGAAGTCTAGCGTATGGATAGTTTGAGTACAACTGATAGTGCGATAGTTCTTCAAGGGACCTGGGCTAACAAAGTTCTTCCACCTATTCCACCAACTACTCGCCTCTCGGAATTCCGGGAGACTGTATAGCAAATTTTTGTTAAGATTATGCAATGTATAGTTTGAAAACTTATATCTTCTCTGTTTGAGGGGAAGTTGGAAGAGTACCAGTTAAAAAGGATTTGATCTCGTAAATAATTGAAAACGTCAACTGAATTAATCAAGATAGACGGTCCCAATTCTTGGTGTGGGGGTATCACCGTATAGGATTGAGTGATTGGCCAATAATACAAGGCCACGTGTGAATAAGAACTTTGAGTTCACGTGTAAGCCATCTAGGTCTAATAATTGAGGGACTCAGCTGCGGGTCCCATTAGTGAGTTGCTAAGCCGAGCCGACTGGAGAATGATGACAGTGAAGCCGACAATCCGCGTCCCATTAGCAGGAATAGCGCGGGTAATGAACAGAGTCATTTATGATTGGATTTTGACGTTCATATGTGAATGGACCACTGTCTCTAGTGTAGCCCAATTAAATTCAAGCTTCAAATTTTACTATTTTATAATTACTATTCAAATTTACAATATTGTTTGGGAAATTGCCCAAAGTGTTCTACAGATTGAGAAATGCTACATGTACATAATTTTTTGTATATAGGTGTCCACACCCTCATAGTGGAGACCCCATTGTGTCCACACCCTCACACTGAGAGTCCCCCCACTATGAGGGTGTGAACACCCATAAGTACAAAAAGTTATGTAAACCAAGAACTTTCCCTACGGATTTATTTCTAAGAAACTCAACAAAATAGTCTTGAAGAATTGATGCTTCCTTGTAAAGGGTATCATAGTTCATTAATCAAGTAAAAGTCGATCCAAAATGTGGAATTTGAAAAAGAATTTTAGTTATCGATTTTTTTATTCTTTTTATATGAAAATTACTTCTTGTGTGAGGTTTCTGGTTCAAGTTGAGGATTCACTCAGTGGCATAGGGAAAATAAAGGAGGATTTTACTACTTCATGCATGCTTCAATTGACACGAGTAAAAGAGTTCTCGTGTAACTAAATTGTATAGTTTTATATGCATATTTAATTATATATATTACTATGTGAGTTTAATTTTTTGAAAATAAACTTGAATGTGCATTGGGGATTATTTTTATATAGACCACCGAACTTACCTATTTTTTCTGAAATAAAAAGTTAGTAATCACACTACACGTCCCACTGTCAAATCTTTTTTGTGCTAAAATAAAAAGATGCATGCATCAATAAGCCTTTATTTATGCAAATTTTCATTTTAAATTTGTGGTAGGCGCAGACAGGCAGATCATATCCTTGGTACTTTCTTTTATTCATTAGTTTCTCTATCTTATCATATCTTTTTTCTATCAAAATGGTTATATCTTAACAAATTTTCTAGAGCTTGTAGTTAAAAAAAATAATTAATCTATGTAGTAAAAGTAACTTATTTTGATAGCATTTCTTATCTTGTTTGCTGTCAAATAAGTAACTTATTTTTTATTTTGATAGAGAGGAAGTAAACTTTTTAGGTTCAGATTGGCATAGCCTGGGAACCCATTCACTGTAGTGATGGGATGCATGTGAAAAAACCTCAGAAACCAGATGCACTACTCTGTGTGTGCGCGCGTGCGTGAGAGAGAGAGAGAGAGATCTAAAAAAAAAAGACTGGAGAAATAATGGATTGAGGTGTGAAAGACAAAATCCTAGGAGCAAGTTGCAAGTGCTTAATCTTCCCTTCTGACTCTATTTTCTTGTCTGCCAACATCCTTTTTAATTCCAAAATCCCCTTCTATTTCTATACGTACATTGTACACACATATGTATTATGTTTCATCCTAAGAAAAATTACATCTGTAGATCTTGAGAGATTTACTGTTTTATTTACTCCATGCATGTTACACACACTTATAATCAATCCAGCTTTTCAATCTTTTATCTGAACTAATTGTTGCCATAGACACATTTACTGCTACAAGTATGTGTCAACTCGACTCTAGCAAATATCGCGCACATTTGAACTCGATATGTGTAAAAAAGATTAGAGAATTCGTGGTCCACGGACACAAAATATCAAATTTTTACCGTGCTGAAGGAAAATCAGCCAGTCAATGAATTTATTTTGTGCCTTTTTTTACCATCAAAAGTAGACTAGAAAGTGAAAAGTAAAAAGGCGAAGTACTTGAGCACAAAAAATGATTACGATTATGATTATGATTTAGAAGTTAAGACTATGATTAAAAGAAATCTTTTAGTAAAGTAGATGATCAAAAAATGCTTAATTTGCAGTTTTCTGAAACTTTACAGAGCGCATGAAATGGGCTAAGGAGCCGAAAGGAGGTCAGACTTTTGTTTTTTTATAATTGAATATATTTATTTAATTAATTCTTTTGAAAAACCAACTTATAATAATTTAATCATCAAAATGGCTTCTCTGAAATCTCATGCCCTTGAAATGCAGAAAAACAAACACTTCTTACAGCCCCACCAAACTGACCAAAAACCTTATCTTTTCAAAACCATTTGCATCTCCTGTCAACTGTCAAAACATAAAAAACAGAATACTGTATTACCTTATTCATTCATTTTTACTTATCTAATATAAGTACTTCTCAGTATTAATTGCTGTATGCATTGAAGTAACAATTAATCTATTTGTATGGATATTTTGTACAGATAGGTTGAGATATGCATGCAAAATTCTGTACATGGAGCGGAATTCTTGAAGTATATATATTTATAAACCCCTCTTCTCATTTTCTTCATATAATCCAGGTCTTCCTACCACCAAATTTCACAAAGAATTTCAAGAACTTTAGCCCTCCATAGTAGCTCATGGTATGTCCAAAGCTCTTGTCATCGGTAACTATCTACTATAATTAATGTTTCTGTATTAATTAATTACATATTAAATGGTTTTTGGACTTTTATATTAGTATTTTTTTTTTCAGTTACGAGGAATTTTGCTTTTGGACAAAGTTTAGTAGCTAAATTGACGTCTGCAAATGGCTGTTTTCTTGAAGGTTGCAGTTTTTCATTAAGTAGTGGTTATAACTGTTACTGGATTGTATTTGAAGGTTACAAACTCAGCTTTTTTCTGAACTTATCAATATTCTCAAGTTCAAAGCCTACTTGCTGCATCTTGATTCCAATTTCCGATCAGTATGCCTTCGAGTTATTAATTTTTTTCCCAGTATCTTAAAACATTAGACTGGTTATAAAGATAGAATTCAGCATTTTTGTGTTGTTCAAATTCATATAGATTGTGGTTTTTCAGGTTTGAAGAGTTTTCTTGATTGCCTTAATTTCTGGTGCACAAGAATCAAATGGATAGTTTTGAATGGAGTGATTTCACAAATACTTCCTCTTCATGGAGAAATCAGCAACAGGAAATTCAAGAAAGCTTGATCATTTCCGAATCAAACGGCTGCTCCTATGGGAATGATGAGAAGATGAACATTTCAGACTATATTTTCAATCCAATTCAACAGCTCCAGAAAACTGAGATGATTCAGCAGTTGGGTCCTTCGAACTGGAATACATCGACGACGTCTCCAAAATTGACAAGTTGTGGAGTCACCATTAATGGCCAATTGAGTTATTCTCAAGTTAATAGGCCTAATTCTGCATTGATTAATGTAGAAAATTGCATGAGTGCTGAATTCAGCCTCGAAAATGGACAAGTTTTTGGTGGTCTTCAAGAAATCGAGGCTGGTATTTCAAACCCGGGCTCTCTCGAATCAATTGATTGCTTGTTATCAGCAACCAATAGCCGGACAGACACATCAGTTGAAGATGATGGGATTTCCATGTTTTTCTCTGATTGCAAAGAACTATGGAATCCAAATTCAAGCGCCATCATCATATCAAACGGAACATCTGCATCCACGGTAAAACATTGCACCAATAAAACAGTATCACAAGCTTCAACCGATGAATATGTCACTCAATCAAGGTCTTCAGGCGCTAATAAGCCTAATCCCAACAAGAGAAGCAGTTCGGAAAGTCAACTGATCATATCAAATGGACTCCAGTACCAAAATCTAGATTTTCATCAGTCCAATTATTGGACTAATCCCCCCAAATCCAAGAAGCCCAGATCAGATAACCATTCAGGTCCATCAAACATAAACTTCCAGCGTCCTACTTCATCTACATCCTCCATGGACGAGCCTGATTCGGAAGCTATCGCGCAAATGAAAGAGATGATTTATCGAGCTGCAGCATTCAGGCCGGTGAATTTTGGCGCCGAGGTGGTCGAGAAGCCCAAACGAAAGAATGTAAGAATTTCAAACGACCCACAAACTGTTGCTGCAAGACAAAGAAGGGAAAGGATAGGTGAAAGAATTAGGGTTTTGCAAAGACTGGTCCCAGGAGGTAGCAAAATGGACACTGCATCAATGCTTGACGAAGCTGCAAATTATCTCAAGTTCCTCAGATCACAAATTAAAGCACTTGAAGCATTTGGCCAGAAGATTGACACTACTGTCAATTTTCCTACAGTTACAAATACTGCTTTCGCGACATTCAATCCTCCATTTGCCATGCAAAATCAGTCCTATCTGCAAAACCCTAATCCAATCCACCAATCAAAAAGTTAAGATTTTCTGATTTTTTTTTTTCATGATGTCGATGTCATGCTCTGATGTTAACCTTATAATTTGTCCCAAAATCTAATCTTTGTAATGATAGCAATCATCATTAACTCATCATGATGTAACTTTGAAAATCATTAATCTTTATCAACGCCTCAAACTTCAAGATGCAGATCATGATGAAGCCATGATTAATTGCTTATTTCTGTGATCATTTTTTCACTTTTTTGTATCATCTTTTATATTATTGCCATCATTTCACCCACAATGCAAGAACACAAAAGTGGCACACAGTTATTCTTCCGCCGGCTTGTTTAATTTAATTGCTCAGTTAGCCTTTTCTGCAATGTTTTCATTGATCAAAGGGACAAATTAAGAATGAGTTCCTCTAACAAGATGTCAATTTTAAGAAAAGGCTATTACTAGGTGTGCCTTGGTTTTTTTTTTTGTCTGGCATGAGGACCAGTTTCGTCGTCTATCTTCGTCACATCACATTAAACAAGACGTACATATTTATACGAATATTATACATAGATGTGATAATTATGAATAATTCGATATCGAAATACACAAGAATTTACAATATTTGTAATTTTAGAATACTACATTTTATGAATTAAACACCTATATAATCTCGTACTACCAAGAGTCATAATACTATATATGAAACCAATTATCGAAAGCAAGTCAGAACTACATCTTCTTGCTACTGCAAAATTTCAGTATAACGAAGAAGAAAATGATTATTTTCCACTTTGAATTAAGACTGTCTAATACAAACTCTATTTGGGTTCGAATAGTGAAATTTGGGTGGAAAGAAAATAAATTTTAGGGAATTGTCAATTAATTATGTTTGATTAGTATAATTTTTCACGTGGAAAATATTGAAATTTTGAATCTTTTGGTATTCGTATAGCTTTGTTTTATATAAAAATTGTTCATTAAAGGGATATAATTTGTTACAATTGGGGTAATAATTTGTTTCCATTGTCAAAAATAAAAATAAAAAATGGAAAACCAATTAAATGAAAACCAAGAAAAGGGTGTCGTGGGGCTTTGGGTGGAAAATCAATTCCATGGAATTTTAGGCAAATCAAACATTCAATAACTTGAAAAATTGAAAATAATTTCCAACTTCCATGGAAAATAAACCCTATTAAACAGGTGTATTTTGTACTTAGAATATAATCTTTAGATAAGCTATTTTTCAGCTTTAATAATTATAGCATATATCATAGGGCTGAAAAGTATCGATTACTTTCGACTGTTCAACTCGAATAATTTATATGTTAAGCTAATCAGTTAAGTTTTCTTAAAGACCTCAAGTGATAAATTAATTATAATTAATTAAGTTAGTTGAGTAACCAATGCAAGAAACATTCTCTTAATCTTAGTGCAAATTAGTCAGTGGTCCTGTCTCCTTGATTCAATCCGGGCGTGGTCCTTGAAATTCACCCATAAACCTTATTGCTAAGCACATGTTTATTCTTCTTTTTTGGCAGTTGCCCTTTTTCTAAATTTTCTAAACCCAAGGCCACATGTATATGCGTACGTATGTTTTTTTTTAATATACTAGGAGAGAAGGGATGGCAAAATATCCCATCTCACATCGTCTAGTTCGAAATGGAATAAACAAAATTTAGGTCAAGTATCAATAATTTGAAAGACTCAAAGTATGATTTAGGGGAATAAAAAGAGACAAGAATAACTCGTTCTAACAAAATGAGCACATATGTCGTCTTCTTGAAACTTGAAGTAGGTGATGTCTTGTGTAGCATGTTTGACAAGATTACCATTCGCTTGAATCGATCAGAACAAGTAATTGCACGTTCTATATTTCTATATTTTGAATTCCTCGCCAATTATTTGTCGTTCTAAACTCTTTATCTAACAACAAAATAAATTACTTACATCATCGATTTGATATTTTCTTCAATGAAACAAAATTGCAACCGATTCGCCAATTATTTGTCGTTCTAAACACTTTTTCTAACAACAAAATAAATTACTTACATCATCGATTTGATATTTTCTTCAATGAAACAAAATTGCAACCGAATAAGATTTTTGACTTCAAAGATAAACGGTTGTGATATTGTGATGTATTATTGGTAGTTCTCAAGTGGTGGCTAGCTAGCTACTTGCTTGCTTGTATTCCCGTTGTTTTTAGTTCAATCATCAATGTATGGTTAGTTAAACAACTTGCTTTTGTTACGTACCTTTTTGGGAATAAAGGAAATTGAATGTGTCTTTTCTTTCTAATTTTTTATATTTAGAATGAAAGTTATGATATAGTGTCATGTAATTAATTATACTTTAAATATATGACGTCATGTAATTCAATATTTGTTTTACAGAGAAAAAGAAGACAAAAAAATAAATAAATAAATAAATTGGCAACAGACTGTTTTTTGTGGAAGAACGAAAATCAGCGGCTTAAATGAAAAGGAAAATAAAAATCAAATCTATTAAACTAATAATTGATTTTGGACTTTGAATTTCCTCTAATTACTTTTAGCATAAATGTTTTAGTTTAGGCGTCTAAAGGTTTTGTGAAGAGAGAAGGTTGAAACAATGAAGGGTAGAACTTAATGTGGGTTGGCCCAGAATTAAAGTTTGGGCTTTTCGCAAGTTTAAAACTTTGGGAAAATTACATAAAATCAGGGGTTTACTTTGACATTTTTAAAAATCAGGTATAACTTTTAAAAAATCAGGTTTGAAGTTTATTTTTGCAAAAATCAGGTGGTATATTAAAACCCTAATTTATCAATCCCCTCCCCCACCTCATTTCCCCCAAGCCCATTCTCTCTCTACCTCTCCTCCCTCTCGTCGATCTCCTCTCTCATGTCGCCGTCATCACCCTATTACCAGCCCCGGTCGGCAATCGTCACAAAGCAAGGTGCCGCTACTGCTGGCATCGTCGATAAAGCAAGGTGCCGCTGCTGTAGATGCGACCCGTCGCCTCCTCCATTCTCTCTCTCTACACAAACCCATCCCCTCCGACCAGAAGGAGCGCGAATCATCGCCAGGGTTTTTGATGGATGATATAAACGAGAATGATGAGCCCTTAGTATTTAAACGGAGCAGCTCATCATCGAAGCAAAACCAATCAAACCCACAACTGCAAAATTAGGAAGGCTGATGCCCAATGGACGATCTCAAAATGGTCAGAGTTCTAGGATTCAAAAGGGTAAGATGGTTTTTGTGTGGCAGCGGTTTTATGGAGGTGGATTTGGTGGTTGTGGTGCTTTGTGCGGGTTTTGTGTCGTGGTGGTCATGGTGTTTATGTGGTGGAGATTTTGAGTGGCATTTTTAGGTGGTGTTTTGTGTGGTGGCTGTTTTATGGTGGTGGTGATGTCGACGGTGAGTAGCAGGATGGGGCGTGGGTGATGGCAGCTGTCGCGAAGATGGGGTCTGGTTTTGGAAAATATCGTAGATTTGGGGATGTGTGGTTGTGGAGGTGGTGGATCTGTGGTGGTATGTTTTGGGCGGTAGTGATGGATCTGTGGTGGCAGTCGTGTGGTGGTTATGGTGATCCATGTGGTGGTAATCGTTTTTTGTTATTGTTGTGGCGGGATCAACGACAGTGGTGGTTCTTTTTGGTGTCTGTGACCTAACTATTGAACCGTGACTTTAAAATTGATAATTTGTAACTAAAAAAAGAATATGTGACCAGTAAATTTGAAAATACGTGACCTGTGACATATAATTTTTTTGATCTGTGACCAATAAAATAATCTGTGACGTATAAAATTTTAGATTTGTGATCTCGAAATAATCCGTGACCTACAAAATTTTTAATTCGTGACCGATAAAAAAATTGTGACCTAAAAATTTTAGATTTGTGACCTGGAAATAATCCGTGACCTACAAAATTTTTGATCTGTGATCGGAGAACAATCACCGGAGTGGTCGCCGAAACAGTAGGGGAGGTGGAGTTGGGGTGGGTTAATTATATTATATTACAGTTAAATATTTAATTTAATATAATAATTGTAAAATATAATTAATTAATTCATGAAAAATCCGATTTTTACAATTCTAAACCTTGTGGCCTGATTTTTTTATTTGGGGATAGATAAAGCCTGAGTTGTGAATTTTTTCCAAGAGATAATTGGCATCATAGCCCAACAGATGTGTATCAAGGAATGCGGCTTTGACTCTCCACCCCAACGTCACCATTGCCTCTCCAGCTATATCATCTAATTTTCTGTGCGTTCATTTGTACCAAGGAATTAGTGTATTAAACGGGGCTCTGGTACCAAACAGAAATTCTGAAATTATAAACATAAGTATATGCTTTCTAGCACTCATATTTTTATGCAAGAACACTTCAATAGTAGTCAGAGAAAATAACAGTATGGACCTAAAAAGAAAGAAAAGAAAAGCAATTCACGGAACATAATCATCAAAATATTAAACAATAACAGAATCTAACAACACATATTGCTTGGTATTGAATGCACTACCACAATAATAATGAACCCAATTCCAAAATAAAATCCCGACCTTTTTTGCTCCATCTTCCCCAACAACAAATTCATTAAGTGCCTTACATATCTCCTTCGGCGTTGACAGCTCCTCCTCGCTTTCCACCCTCCGCTTCCATGGTAGAATCCACATTACTCTCCTCTAAATTACAATTACTGTTAGTATTGGCATATGGTTCTTCTATTGCTTACCACTATAAGACTACAATCTCTCCCAAACTTTAATCCCACTCTTTTCATTCCCATTCCTATTTTTCCCACCATCATTACCAAAACTCAATTTCCCTCCTTTCACCCTTCCCATTACTACAAAACTCCCTATAGAACACGTGTGTAAGTTTTGCCTTCATATAAAATTGATTCAACTTGAACTCCAACTCTTCGAATAGTTCAACAAAATTTGTATTGGAAGCAAAATGTGTTAAAAAAAAACATTTTTATAGCCTATGAAAGACATATGAGCTCTTTTACAATTGTTCAAAGTAATCTATTGAGTTAAAACATTATTTTCTTCTA